GCTGGATGCGAAGTGTGGGCTAACACAGGCCGTCGACAGTGGGGCGCGTGCAACTACTACAGGCCCAGGGCCTGCGTTGTGTGGTCTGGGCCTCAGCCTACCGAGGCCTACCGGAAGCTTCTTGGGAAAGGCCTAGCGCAGCCTGGGTTGGCAGATTTTCGAGGGCTCAGCCTCCTAATGAGTTGGCGAGACCCTCACATAATAGTCTGTTGCTATTCCTGTCTTTCCTCTGTGTCGTATCTTTGTGTGTTTGCTCCTGTTCATCATTTCTGCATGTGTGGGTGAACCTTGTGTTGCCTTGCTCACCAGCACCGCCCACTCTCCCGTCTTCCCCTTCCCCCTTATCCCCTACGCTAGCCCCTTTTCCCCCGTCCCAGTCCCCTCCGTCCGGCACCTGGCCAGCCGGAACAAGCTGTGGACCGGCCAACATAGCAAGCCTCAAACGAGAACGTCACGGCGACAACATCCTCACCAGCTTCTGACTGGCAACGGACATCGCGTCCCGGTGGTCCTCCTCAAGCAGATGAATGTGGGCCCTACTCCGGTACAGGGGCCGGGGGACGGGGCCTCCCTTCCTGGTCCAGCATCCCTATAAAGATGTCATTGACTGATACATGTATGATAATCAGCGAGGAATAAACTGCCTACGTTATTACTGCCGTTTTCCAGATGTGTGTCGCAAGCTTCATGGTTTGTAAGCAGTGCCGTGAGGCCCATCGTTCTTCTACAGGGATTGCAAGGTTGATGTGAGTAAAGTCAACCATTATCTCTTTTTTTTTTTTTTTTTTTTGAAGGCCCTTGCGCAAAGCCTCTATCCCAGTGGTGGTAAGAGAACCACCGGGATTGAGGCTTTGTCTGGTGGGCCGCTCCATCTATTGGTGGGGAGCATCACTTGCTGGAAACCGGGTCCACTGTCTCAAGACGTATTCAAACGAATTTATGGAACCTAAAAGAAGGAAAAATATGTGGGCTCGAGAGACATGGAGACTGAATGTTTCAGGCTGAATACGTCTGCATTTTTTAAAGCTCCCACTCATTCTACACCTCTCAAGTCATTTCACATAGTCAAACTAGATTCAAGCTTAACAGGGTCTTCGTTCCCCGCCGATTCTTTCATGTACCTAAGGCAGGCCCTGAGCTGGATGCGAAGTGTGGGCTAACACAGGGCGTCGACAGTGGGGCGCGTGCAACTACTACAGGCCCAGGGCCTGCGTTGTGTGGTCTGGGCCTCAACCTACCGAGGCCTACCGGAAGCTTCTTGGNAGGCCCAGGGCCTGCGTTGTGTGGTCTGGGCCTCAACCTACCGAGGCCTACCGGAAGCTTCTTGGGAAAGGCCTAGCGCAGCCTGGGTTGGCAAGGACTCGATCTGGCCGCTCATTTTTTGGAATACAACGTGCAGTCGTTTTTGCTGTATTTAGACTGAAAGATACCCCAAATACACCGATAATGACCGGTACGTTGCATTCGGGGGAAGAAGGTAGTGTGAGTATCCCCTAAGCCTGAATTGACAGAATGAAGACGGAAAGTAAAGTAGCAAAATAAAAAAATATCGTTTGTCGATAGGCACTTAGTTGGCATGAATCTGGGTGGAAAACGAAATACGAGAAAAAAAAAAAAAAAGAATCTAGGTCGCCAATTCGCCCTTTGTTGGCATGAATCTGGATGGAAAACGGAAAATTGGACATTTTTGTTTTTTTTTCCCATCTTAAATGAGAAGAATAGAGTGGTTTCAAATGAGGCTGTGTGGTTGCAGAGGGCCTGATGTCGGCGATACGTGTCTTCTTCTCGTGTTTTTGCCTTTTTTAGTACTTCACTTTTATTTTTTCTCTTTGGATTCTTGCTCCTTATTCCTTTTTTTTTTTTTTTTTTTTGAAGGGGGTCTTCCTTCAGATATCTCCTCGTGTTTTTGCCTTTTTTAGTAGTTCACTTTTATTTTTTCCCTTTGGGTTCTTGCTCCTTATTACTTTTTTTTTTTGTTTTTTGAAGGGGGTTTGCCTTGAGATATCTCATCAGTGAAGCTGACAGGCCCCAAGTAATTCAAAATATATCTAGATTCGAACTTGGGTCTGATTCCTATTTCATCACTTTGTGGGTGTACCAACTAAGCTCTCTTGTGGGTGTAGCAGCTAAGCTAGGCTCGTTGGTCTAGATCGGATGTGGGTGTTTCTTGTAAGTCTTGGTGAGTATATGCCCTCAGTTGGAATGGATCTGGACAGGAAACGGAGTATAAGACATTGCGCATAGGGTGATGTATCGGGCAAGCATCGTTGTCTTTTGCTAATGCGTCTCTTAACAAGTCATGCAAGGATGAAAACGAGAAGATTATTTGTTTGTAATAATGATAAAATTTCTGGAGTACAACTGTACTGAAGAGGACGTCGACGGTCTGCGTTGCATTTCCTCCTACCATCTTTATCCGAATAGAGCGCAGAGTCATTGTCGCTGTATCTTGAGGGGGCGGAGGGGAAAGGGGGAGAGAGAGTGAATGGAAAGGCATGAAGGGGAGGGGGAGGGGGAAGGGTGGGGTATGGGTCGAAAGAGCGCGACTTTGCCAACTTTCCTTTGTTGATGATCGTGACCATAAGGGCACTTGTCCTTGGGTGACTGAGCGTCGTAACTTTTTTTTTTTCCAGTTACAATTGTCCGCCGATTAGACATCATCGCAATGATGAGCAATCGTCTAACTCTGTGGATAAGATTCGCCTACGTGTACACAGCAGGGGCGCGCGCGCGCGCGTGAGAGAGAGAGAGAGAGAGAGAGAGAGAGAGAGAGAGAGAGAGAGAGA